TGTTGTTTGGTTGCTTTTATTTTTAGCACCAGGGATCTATCTTACTCAGGGTTTCATTCAAGTTAGGGAAGTGTTTCACCACTGAGCTATATTCCTAGCCCCTTCATCATTCTTTTTTAAATTACATTTTAATCTCTCTCTCTCTATCTCTCTCTCTCTCTTTCTCTCTCTCTCTCGTGTGTGTGTGTGTGTGTGTGTGTGTGTGTGTGTGTGTGTATGTGTGTGTGTGTGTGTAGGTGCATGTCTGGGGTGACCACCAAGTCTAAAGGAGGATCTCATGGAGCTGGAGTTACAGGTAGATATGAGCTGGTCCAGCTGAGGTGCTATATAAACCACTCTTGTCCTCTGCAAGAGCAGCAGGGCTCTAAAACCACGGAGCCATTTCTTTCATTTCCTGTAAATGAATGTTTGCCTGAATCATGTATGAATGTACACCACATGTATGCCTGCCTGAAGGAGGCACCAGTACAGAGCCAGTCCCAGGTCCCTAAACCTATTTTCCAGAAATTTGTATAATGGAAAGCCTTAGGAGATAGAGATACTATGCCCTTATGGAGCTCAGGGCTAAATTATCTCCTTCAAGAGCAGGTTTAGGCCATTGTGCAGCCTCTTCTAAAACACTGCTCTTTCCTGGGACTAGAGAGACAGCCTGGTGCTTAAGAGATCTTGCTGCTTTTAAAAAGGGCATGGGGCTCAGTTCCAAGCATCCACATAGTGACTCATAACCATCCATCACTTTACTTCCAGGGGAATTCAGATGCTACCTTCTGACCTCTGCAGGCACACATGTGGTGCAGATATACATTCAGGCCAATGTTCAAACATGTAAAATAAATAACTCTAAAAAATAATTAAAGCACTGCTATTTTCTATGCTTGGATTCCTCAGTTGTGACACACATCCATTGCAATGTGCAACATGTACCTGGGCCAATATCCCTGTTGCCTTCATGGGACTCCAGGGAGAAAGGCATCAATGTAAACCCCTCTCCTCACGCTGCTTGCCACATTATAAATAACAAAGTCCTGTCTTGAGCTTGTCTCTCCTTCCAGCATCCATGCAATGGTAGCAGGCTAGCTTGTCTTATAAGCAGGATAAAAATCTTAGCTCAGGTGTACTTTAACCCCAGCAAGCAGGAGGCAGAGTTATGCAGAACTGTGAGTTCAAGGCCACCCTGATTTACAGAGTGGATTCTGGCATTATCTTTGCTGTATAAATCTCTCAACCTGCCCAAGTGGCCAAAGTTGTCATAAGTGAAGCAGTGCAGAGATTGGCCAGTGGATCTCCGTGATTTCCAAGTCAACCTAGTTGACAAATCGAGTTCCAGGGTAGTCAAGGCTACACAGAGAAATCCTGTCTCGAAAACCAAAAACCAAAACAAAACCAAAACAAAACCCACACTATTAACACATAAGGTCTTCCTGTCTTTCATCTCCCTCTCTGCCCCCCCTCCTCTTTCCTGCTGCTTCTGTCCCCAGAGGTGGGTCTCCCCCCCCCTTCCCCCTTTTGACAATCCTGTTCCCCTAATAAAAACCCTCTGCTTGAAGAAATTTAGAAAACACACAGAAGGTCTCAATCCTGTACTACAGATAACTAAAAATGCTGAGAGTGGAGGAAATACTCTTTTCCAGAGAAGAAAACACTAATTGGTAATCCATTAGCAAATTATCAGCCCTGAAAACATAAAATTATACATTATATAGACTGAGCAGGTTGTATTTATCTATTAAAAGACTATACATGCATATACATATACATACATACATACATACACACACACACACACACACACATGCAATGACAATAAAAAAAAAGAGACCATGGATTTGAAAGGGAGAAAGGAGGGGTATATAGGAGCATCTGAAGGGAGAAAAGGGAAGGAGGATATGATGTAATTATATTGTAATCTCAGAAAACAAAAAAGACTGCAAAGACCATTGTGTCCATTACTGGTAAGACTCATCTTTCTCTAACCAAGACATTTCAGTGATGCCAGTTTCATTCAGCAGAGACAAATAAGTATATTGCTGTCAGTTGGGAGGTAAGAAATATGGGAATAGGATCCTGGAAAGACAAATTGTCACTACAATCGGGATCACTGGAGAGAAATGAACAGATGCCACTAAGTGGTAATTGGAAACAAAGATGAATTTATTTGCCTGTCTGAAAAGAAAGGACACATCTCTCAAGCAAAACATTCTGCTTTTTGTACCTGAATGGACCGGTTACAAAGCAAAGGGAGGAAGGACAGGAAAACTGCTCACTGGGCCAGTTCACTTCTTCCACGTGCAGGCTCCACTCCTAGCGATGTCAGGGATGCTCCAGTCAGCTCACTGTCACTCTGGTGGCCAATGGGAACAGATTGCTCGAAGGAGGCTGAATCTTTGGCAAAGAGCACCAGCAGGACCTCAGGTTTATGCCAGTGACGATCACGGTTACTGTCCCTTTGCTAATCTCTTTCAGAACTAACAGGCAGTTTCCACTTTTTAGGGCAAAAGACAAATAAACATACATGTGCACTTACAGAGGCAAATTTCATGTAGGCAGTTTATCCTTAAAAGTTACAAAAGAACAAAACATAAGTAATAAAAGAACACCTGTACATGAATGATGGCAGCACCATGACCCACAATAGCCAAAGTGGAAACAGCCTGAACGTGAATAAACTGATCAGGCCATACACAGGCAAGGGGATATGACTGTGCCGAAGAGGCTTCAAGTGCTGGTACAGAGTACATGATGAATAAACATCAAACACATGCCAGGCAAAAGGGCAGACCCCAAATGTACAAAGTTGTACAAAACACTGTATAATTCATCTAACATAAACATGGAGAACAATTACATCCATAGGGCCACAGAGCAAATCTGTGGTTGCCAGTGGCTGGGGGCAGGGGAAGGAGGCCTTCCCCCTTAATGCTTAATAGGTTCAGGACTTCTTTTCAAGTGCTGAGCATGTTTTGGGAAAAGACAGGGGCTGGCCACACAGCACTGCCAGTGTCATAAGTGCTAAGGTATTTATGGTAACATAAATGTTACTTTGGCACCGGTAAACGTGTGTCACAGAACTGATTACACCCCCTCGACTCTTCTATTTAGGTTGTGAGCCTAGCCTTTAACGGCTGAGCCATCTCTCCAGCCCAACACAGCTCCACTCTCTGAAGGGAGTAAGTGAAAAAGGACAGGGCAGTTGAGTCCATTGAAACAAGGGACCCTGAAATGATCTGCTCTGGCAGAGAGTGCTGAACAGAGGAGGAGGACAGCCCACTTAACAGCCTCAGAGGGCTGTGAGCACTGGGGAAGCAGACCAGAAAAAACCGAGTTTTTGAGTGCTCATTTCCTTCGTGCAAGTAAGCTAGCATGTTCTAAAACATGTGAATGGCCTCACAAGGAGAGCCACAGTAAGCCATTCCAGATCGCCTCTTCCAGGCCAGGGGCAAGGTCTGGAGGAGAGCTGGGGTCTGTCTGTCAGAACACTGTCAGTGCAGGGAAGCCTTCCAAGGGCTGGGACGGTCACTAACAAATCTGCCACCGACTCCCTTGCACAGGAGTGCATGTCTAGGCTGTGCTCAATTTCAACGTGACAACCTTCCTTTGTTCTGGTCTCCTTTGGTATCAGTTTTGCAAAGAGTACTTGCAGCGATCGCATTGCAGATGCTGCGCACAGGCCTTTTAAACTAAGAAATACTAAGTTCTCCTGAGAGAGACTTCTCCTGGTTCACAAGCCAAATTCCTTACATATTCAATGCAGGGAAATGATCTTTACAAAGCACTGGCCTTCGGCCTTCTGTCACAAGGCACAACATGCACGCACCTTGGGGACATCGTGCCAAGTGAAAAAGGCAGCCTGATATAATAGGCATAGGCACCTTGTGTTTCCTTGCATGTGAGGTCCTGTGAGCTATCAGACTCCTGGAAACATAAGCAGATGGGTTGCTACAGGGGTCAGGGACAGGAAATGAGGGATTTTAATGGTTAACAGGTACAGAGCTTCAATCCTGCAAAAATGAAGACATTCTAAGACATTCTAGAACTATGTTGCAGGACACTGGGATTATACTTAAGAATGTGTCCTGAAAATTGTTAAAATAGCAAAATGTGTGTTTGCTTTTAATGGCCATTTATAATAAGCTTCTCAATTATTGGTGAATTATTAACTTAAAAGTGTATTACTGCAATTAAAAAGGATATAGTAACTTTTTGTGTTTGGGAGTTTTGCCTGCCTGCCTACATGCATGCATGTATGTATGTGTGTGTGCACCATGTGCATGCCTGGTGCCCATGTATGTATGTATGTATGTATGTATGTATGTATGTATGTGTGCGTGCACCATGTGCATGCCTGGTGCCCATGCAGGTCAGAAAATGGTGTCTGATCCCCTGGAACTGGAGTCACAGTTCGTTGTGAGCCATTTTGTAGGTGCTGGGAACTGAACCTAGTTTCTCTAGAAAAGCAACAAATGTTCTTAATCACTAGGCTCTTGTTCCAGCTTCTATTTTATTTTTAAATTATGCTTTCGTGAGAGGGACACATGAATGTCTGTCTGTCCCAGCAGAGGCCAGAAAAGTGTCCTATTTTTTGGAGCTGGAGGTATAGACAGCTGCATGCTGCCTGAAATGGGTTCTGGAATCCAAACTCCAGTCCTTCAAAGGGCAGCAAGTGCTCTTAACAGCTGAGGCATTTCTCCATCCCCATGTTCCTGCAGTTTGAATTTGAATCTAAATGGCAATGTGGAATTACTAAAGATAAAAAAAATTGGATGTGGGTTCACAGCAGCACACTACAATAAACATGACTATCAAAAGCAAAAGGCAAAACAAACAAAATAGCCTGTTTTTTTTTTTTTTAATCCCTTCCCTGTTTCTATGTAAAACTTGGGCATCGAGCTTTGATATTTCGCCTTTTTAACTGTAATATATCGGCACATTCCAAGTACCCACAATGACCTAAAAACTGAGAAATGATTTCGCTCGATACTGGGACATTTTAGAGAGAAGTCTTAGGACCTTGGGGTGGTTGGTGGACCTCCTGCTGCACTCTCACTGGGTTCACCAGCTGCAGGACCACACTCAGAGTACTGAGTGTCTGCTGTGGACATAGTCATTAGGCGTGGTATGATTCTTAATTGCACATTCTGGGTCTGAGTCTGCCTCTGCTGTACCAGGGTAGCAGAGAGTTGGAACCTCTGGGAACGAACACTCTGCCTGTGACTCTGCTGGGTAGAACCCACCTGACACACCACTGATCTCTGGTTCTGCTGAACCACACTAGTCCCCCCAGTGCGAAGGCGACCAGTTTGCTCAGTGTTAAGGTGACTAGTTTGCTGAGCTGACAAGGACAACTGCTGATGGTTAGACACTTGGGGGGAAGCTGGTGACACTGTTTGTGGCTGTGGGGTGGCAGGGGTCCTGGGTGGCTGATGCTGTTTTGGAATCAATACATATATTTGCTGTGGCTGCTGCAGCTGTCCCTGGGATTTCTTCTGAGGCTCTGGGCGCAAAATGACAGAGCCAGGGGGAAGCCTTACAGTTAAGGGACTCGCTGTATTATTTATAATGAGTTGCATAGGTGGCTTCACAGGGCGCTGTGCTGGCCTAGGTAGCTGCTCCCTGGTTGGTAAAAGGCTATTTGGAGTGTTTCCCTCAGCAGCTGGGGCACTAGATGAGCTGCCTGGGACCTGGGTTGAATTACTCCCAGAAGAGTTTGGCAGAGACCTTACTAAATGGATGACATTCACACCAGTAGTGCTGGTGGTGTGCTGGATCTTTGGGTTGTTTTCTGATGACCTAGCATTGGATCGGACAGCTGGAGGAAGGGTGCTAACCCTGTTCACTCCCACAATGGTTTTCCGAACCACAGTGGCTGCTTTAGGAGCAGGTGGTTTGTCCTGGCCAGCCTGTGGTGTAATGGACCTGACAGCTGAGGAGGCCTGTTCTGACATGGGGACAGCTGAAACTGGCAGAGGGGGTCTGCTTTCTTTCTCTAAGGCTGCCACTACACTGGTTGTGGGCTTCTTTCCTAGGGAGGGCTGAAGATGACAGACTGAGCTATTAAACTCCTGTGGCATCTGATCTAAACACCTGGCTTGGCTCTGGACAGGCTCTTGGCCCACAGCCACTGTCTCCCTAGGCTCAGTGTTTATCCCAGCAATGAAATCATCTACATAATCATCCAGTGACATGGGAGGGAAATACATGTTGCTATCACTTCTGGCCTGTGGAGGTGGGTCTATTTCATCAGCAAAAAGTGGATCATCAAGGGTCTTCATGATACTTGGATTCATAACCCAAAATGGACTGTCATCCTCAGAATCAAACATACAATCATATTTTACCTCAGGATCTTCCAAGACAGCTGATTCTGACTCATCAAAGGTCAGAGAAGGCAACTCTTTAACATATTTCTGCAAGTCCATCTCTGAAGGCAGAGTCAGTTCACAGAGTGTCTGCTTCCATGTTTCTGCTTCATCAATCTTCAGCTGAGATGGGTTATCTGCTGTTAGTTTTGCCTGTTTTTTCAAAGGAGTCATTGTTGTGCAGTCAGGGGGACACACACACCCAGATGGTACCTCCTGTGGATCCAGAGAGGAGCATGCATGCCTCTTGAAGCATTGCCTCATGGGGTCAGCGTTCATCTTCTGCTCATTAAACAGCAGTCTGTTGGCCATGCAGGTGACAGTAACAGAGGGATCCAGACACAGTGGCTCTGCTGTAGCCAAGATCATTTGGCTCTCGAGCTCAAGTTTTTCTTCCTGGGTCCACTGACGGTTGTCACTTGTAATGGACTCTACATCACTCACTAGCGTCTGCATCGTCGGACGTAAGAGAACATGACGTATTTGGTAGGCAGTAGAGGACACAGTAGAGGACACAGCAGACTCAGCAGATGACACAGTAGGCTCTGAACCAGGCTGCCCAGGAGGGCAGCTGGTACTGCACTGCCTGTAGTCTCGGATTTCTGCTATGACACACCCACAGTGAAACACATTCACAGGGGACTTTTCCAGGGCATCGATCAGAAAAGAGGGTAACTCTTCAGCATCCAAGTATTCGAGAAGTTTCTCTACTTCATAAGGCAACTGAAAGGGCTCTGAAAATGACCCACTTTTGTCCTTGAGCAGGAGAGAGTAGCCCTGATTTTCTGCGTACAGGTTGACCACTAAACATGGCAACGCCTCTCTCTTCATAAGCTTCTCTAGCAAGTTGACATTGCTTCGAAGGCCCTCTACTTCAGGCTCTTTCTCACATTCCTCCACATAAATTTCATACAGTTTTTCCTGAAGAGATTTTTCCCCACTAGATGCGGGTCTTACTGGAGGGGGCTGCTGCCGTACAGTCTCAATAATATCACCTGCCCAGTCCAAAGCATCTTGTAAAGTTTGTTCCATCGTAATAGAAACTCGGGGCCTTAAATAATAAAAAACAAAACAAAACATGAAAACGTATTGGTGGACAGGTGGAAATCACGGCAGTTGTATTAACTGTCCTACAGAACTCTACAACTCTGTATAGGAGTATACGGCCTGAATTTTTAATATGGACCCCAAGAAACCCACGTTCCGCTGGTGACATGGACACCCCCAATTCCTGCATTATATTCTGGGGGCTTAGGAATGGGTAAAGCCAGTCTGGGCTGCACCGCAATCTCCGACTTAACTGCAAAGACAAGCCGAAGGAACCAAGAGCTGGTTGGGCATTGGTGGTGCACGTCTTTAATCCCAGCACTCAGGAGGCAGAGGCAGGCAGATCTCTGTGAGTTTGAGGTCAGCCTGCTCTACTAGAGCTAGTTCCAGGACAGCCTTCAAAACCATAGAAAAACCCCCCCGTCTCGAAAAACCAAAAAAAAAAAAAAAAAAAAAAAAAAAAAAGGAACCAAGAGCTACGTTCAAATTTTGCAAATTTTTAAAAGTATGCATACCTTTGGAGCTCACTGCTGGTGTGTCGGCCTGGTATGCTCTGTGCTGAAAACCGGCGGCCTGCAGTGCTGGAAACCGGCGTGCAGGTCTGAGGAGCTGCCTTGCTCGTGCACTGCTGCGTCTTCCGAAAGCCGTTTGCCGCTTGCCTGGGTTTCGCGCTCCTTATAAAGCCTTGTGGGTAGGCGGGTCCTTTTTCAAACTTCCTTTTCAGAGGACACCCCACTTCCGTTGGAGAGGCGGGAAAATTTTGGGGGCGGTCTCCTGCTGTTCGTTTGACTTGAAAGGCTTGCTCACCGAAGCTTGAGCTAGTAGCAAATTTTTCGTTACACTTTCAGTATCCACCATTTTACATCGGAGTTCAACATGCAGAGTCAGTGTGCACCATTTTGTCTTGGTGTGCCCATCAAGAACTGATCTATGGGAGACAGAGGCAGGCACATCTCTGGGAGTTCGAGGCCAGCCTGGCCCACATAACTAGTTCCAGGACAGCCTGGCCTATATAGCCAGTTCAAACTAGCCAGGACTACCTAGTAAGATTGTGTGTGTGTGTGTGTGTGTGTGTGTGTGTGTGTGCGCGCGCGCGCGTGCGTGTGTGCGTGTGTGCGTGTGTGCGTGTGTGCGTGTGTGTGCGCGTGTGTGTGCGTGTGTGTGCGTGTGTATGTTTTGTTTTCTTTTTTGCCTCGAATTCAGAGATCCACCTGTGTCTACCTCTGCAGTACATCACTACCACCACCCAACGAGACTGTATCTGTATTTGGAACCTATTGTCTCCAAAGTTTAGGCGGTTCCTGGTTCTATTACCATTTTTGCATACCCAAGAAAGTCCACCTTCGTAGCCTTCCTTTCCTTTACACCTGTGGAGGAGGCACTGTATGCTAGGTGTATCACAACACTTCTTCATATTGTCAGGATACCTCCTGTCCCAGTGTTTTCATATAGTTAGACACATAACATGCCATTCTTTTTCTTTTTCTTTTTGTTTTTGTTTTTCTTTTTCTTTTCTTTCTTTCTTTCTTTTTTTTTGAGATAGGTTTTCTCTGTGTAGCCCTGGCTGTCCTGGAACTAGCTCTGTAGACCAGGCTGGCCTCGAACTCACAGAGATCCACCTGCCTCTGCCTCCGGAGTTCTGGGATTAAAGGTGTGTGCCACTACCGCTCAGTAACAGGGCAGTTTAACAACTACTTATCTTTTATTTCTTTATGTATTTCTAGTTTTTCTTTTTATTATTGTTTTGTGTACGGGTGTTTTGCCCGCGTGCTTTTGTACCACGCAGGTGTGGTACCCTCAGAGGCCAGAAGAGGGCATCATATCCCTGTGGGCCTGGAGTTCTAGAGGATTGTGAGTGGTCATGTGGGTGCTGGAAGTGGACGAGCAAGCAGTGCTTTTACCTGCCAAGGCATCGCTCCATCACTTACTCTCTTTAAAAACAGATTTCTTTTATTATTTGTTTACTCACATATACAAACACATGCCTTCAGAAGAGTTATAGGTAGTTGAGTCACCAAATATGGTGCTTGGACTGGAACTCACCTCCTCTAGAGGAATAGCAAGTGCTTTTAACCACTGTGCCATCTCTCCAGCCCTGAATTTTTTTAAAATAAGTTCTTCAAATATGCTGATGCCCCTCTTATCGTTTTTTTCAATTTGTTTCTATTTTGTGTACATTGGTGTTTTTCCTGCATGCATGTCTGTGTGAGAGTGTCAGATCCCATAGACCTGGAGTTACAGACAGTTTGTAAGCTGCCATGTGAATGTTTGGAATTGAACCTGGGTCCTCTGGAAGAGCAGCTTGTGCTCTTAATGGGTAAGCCAACTCTCCAGTCCCAGCTTTTCTTTTTTTGATGGTAAATTTCTTTGACTATTTATAAAATCTTGTTTTCTAGTCCTTTCGTTGCCTTGAATTTGCCAGTCTTCTTCTTCTTCTTTTTTTTTTTTTGACAGCTATTTAGAAGATTCTCTAATGTTTAGATTTACATACAGAAATGACACCAATTTTCACAGTGATTACCTATAATGACAAGAACCCAAGATAAGTTTGTGAAGCCTCAGAAGCAGACAGATTTACACTAAATGCTTTTTGTTTGTTTTGTTTTTGAGACAGGATCTCACTGTGCAGCTCTGGCTGGTCTGGGATTCATCATGTAGATCAGGCTACCTCAAACTCACAGAGATCTGCTTATCTCTGCCTACTGAGTGCTACACTACCAGGCTCAGATAAAGGCTTTAAAAAATCAGTAGTATTTGTGATTGTTATACATCATCACATCTCAGACACATCATATTTGGTTGGATTAAAAGTTCTTTTGCCTGGGCACACTAGAGCTGACCATTCTCTCTCTCTCTCTCTCTCTCTCTCTCTCTCTCTCTGTGTGTGTGTGTGTCCCTGTCTCTCTCTCTCTCTCTCTCTCTCTCTCTCTCTCTCTCTCTCTCTGTGTGTGTGTGTGTGTGTGTGGTGGGGGTACACAGTTGAGTCGGCCCTGAGTGCATAAGAGCAGGAGAGCTGACCCTGCCCCCTCTTGTATTCCTCCTACAGCAATCAGGAGAAAGGGCCTTGTACCTTAGGAAAAACAGTAGAGCTAGCCCTAGTGGTGTGAATGTGGGTGACCCAGATCTGAGGACTTGAGAGCAGGAGAACTGGCCCTGCTCCTTGCTGTAGGGTGCATTAGGTGAGTTAGCTGAGGCAGTGCTGAGGACCTCATCCAGGTAGTAATGATGAGGGAAACCTGGCGGGCTCACCAACCCAGCTACCACCCAGGCCCAGAACTAGGGCTATGAGTTGGCCCACCCCAACATTCACCTTCACCTCATCTATGAACTGTTGGAGCATGTGAAGGGGATCAACCTACAGATCCAAAGCTGCAGGATATCCAGTGACACAGGAAAACAGGATATCCAAGAAGAGCCTCAGGGAGAGCCCATTATCGGCAGTGTAGCAGAAGCCAGAAGCCTCAAACTGGACCAATGACTCATAGTATGGACTAAAGGATAAACTGTGTGAGTCACTGGGACACAGTTACAGCTTCCATGACAAGATTCTCCTACTTTTTATTTGGTTTGGTTTTTGATTTTTCTTTTAAAATTTGTTTTGTTTGGGAAGTTGCAAAGGCAGAGGGTGGATTCGAGGGGAAGCGGAGATGAACAGAATCAGGATGCATGATGAGAAATCCAGAAAATACCAATAAAAGTTAAAGAATTTTTTTTTTCTTAAAAAAACCTCTGTTCTTTGTCCAAGTTTCTTTGAAATGACTGGTGTTAACCAACAGATAGGAATGGTTTTCTAGGGCTGGGTAAGTAATTTCCTGATTTCACTTGTTTAAGCTCAACCCATAGTATGAGAAAACATGAAGAAATGAGCTGCCACCGCCACCACCACCAGCACCACAACTAAAAAGCAAACTGATAAACAATCATGAGAGAGAGAGAGAGAGAGAGAGAGAGAGAGAGAGAGAGAGAGAGAGAGAGAAAATAGTTTTCTAGCTCCCTAGTTGTCCTTGGGAAGGTGGACACTTTTGGAGCACCACAGAGGACCTTTCTATTTTCCTTTCTGGTTTTGATATATGAATATGTATAAAGTGTATGCATGCACACTGTGTGTGTGTGTGTGTGTGTAAATAAGAAGGGAAAAGGTTAATATTAGGTATCTTCCTGAATCATTCTCCACCTTATCGTTTGAAGCAGGATCTCTCACTAAACTTATTGCTCACCAGTTGGATAAACTGGATGGTTATTGAGCTCTAGGGATCTGCCTGTCACTATTGCCTGAGGATGAGGGCTGCAGTTGTAGTGGTCATATGTGGCTTTTTACATGGGTAATGGGGATCTGAACTTAGGGCCTAATGCTTGTGATGAAGGCACTTTACCAACTGAACTATCTCTCCAGCCTCTTCTTTCCTTTTTTTTTTCATTGTTTCTCTTTGTAAAAATTTCCATATCTGAAATGAATCTAACTAAAGGCTTGGATAGCTTTTTAAAATTATTATTATTTTGCTTTTCTGTAACTTTTTGCCGTTATATCTCCTAGGTGATATCTTTATTTTGGGGGAGGCAGAAGGGAAGAACAGAGAGCCACTTTATAGTCTTCTTCGCTATTCATGGACATACTCTGAATGCTGCCCCATGGCTGTTATCCTAGGGTACATGTGCTTCATCACAGGATGGTTGTCTGCACACCTGGTCATAGGATGGTTTTCTTGTTTCATTTCTGTACCTGTGATAAAATACCCCAGTGAAAACTAACTTAGGGGAGAAAGGAATTTATTTGGTTTACAATTCCAGGTTACAGCCCATCATAGCAGAGAAGTCACAGTAGCAGTAACTCAAAGCAGCTAGTCAAGACATGTCACAGTCAAGAGCACAGAGAAAAGAATGCCTGCAGGATGGCTTGCTTTTGTCTTTTCTCCTCTTATATAGTTCAGGACAACTTTCCTAGGGAATGGTGGTGCCCGCTTTGGGCTGGGTCTTCCTCCATTAATTGACAATCAAGACAAT